AAATAAAAAATTATGTCGATGTTCAACGAGTTTTTAGAGGGTTTATTGGATTCAAATTGGTAAATGTATTTTTCAGGTTCGGATTTGTGCGCCCGCCTATTAACCATAAGGTGCAAGAAGCGGATCTATTGTCTACTTTGAACTACTGCTTTGGGTTGAAATGGTATTGAGAACAATGAGTTATAAATGATTAAATGCAGATGAATTGAAGCTTGTTGGGATGTTAAATAATCATCCAATATAGGAACTGCATAATGATTATCGAGGTTGGGTTTGTAAATATAAATTTCGGCTTTCAAAATAAAAAATTAGAAATTGATTAGGTAAAAAGAAGGCCCATTTTTCCAGGACGTCGGCTTCAACGAGTGCCCGACAGTAGACCCAAATTCCCTTACCGGCCCACAGAGAATCGCACTCGGTGCGACTGACCAAGTTCTGTAAAAATATAAATCATGGCCTTAATTTGGCCTTAAATAAAATTGGTTTTAAATGAAGTCACTTTTAAAATCGAAAACGGTCCCATTGCCGTGAAAATGGGTGGCGACTCAAAATGTCTTATAAAGACCAATTTATCGGCATCGTATCCAAAAGTATTTTGTCACCACTGTTCAAATAAAAATCACTTTTTCCATCAAAAATAAAAAGGGGGGGACATTTTCGGGTCGCTCGGGGGCGAGACGAAAACAGCTCGAGCCACCAAATTCACATCCATCTCCTCAACCCGCTTTGGAGGCATCTTCTCGAAGTGTGGGATGATGCTCTCATATTGGACTCTCTTATCAGAAATAGTGGACTTCATGCCAATAGCAACTCGGAGGCTCGCTCGCAAACCTACCTGGTCTAAGGTCCGGAGCTGATTGTTAAACATGATAGACCGTCCCCCGAATGGAAGACTGGTGATAGTGGCAAAGTCCAATGGTGCGATGGTCATCTCTCAGAACGGTAGATGGAAAGTGTGAGTGGTATCCATCCACCGCTCCATAAGCGCCATAATGCTAGAAGGCAGAGTCTGCCCCTGCACCCATGGTAGTGTGCAAAGCGCCTGAAACTAGCTTTCCGAACGCGATCCTGGACCAAAATAGGCAACCGGTCGAACCACTCGCCGGCCGCATAGGCATTCCCGCCTGATTTCTCGTGCTTTACGCTCTTCTGCAAAACAAACCATTGTAAGTATACTAATGAATAAGTGCAAAGCACAAGTTTGCATGATGGAAAGTGTGAGTGGTATCCATCCACCGCTCCATAAGCGCCATAATGCTAGAAGGCAGAGTCTGCCCCTGCACCCATGGTAGTGTGCAAAGCGCCTGAAACTAGCTTTCCGAACGCGATCCTGGACCAAAATAGGCAACCGGTCGAACCACTCGCCGGCCGCATAGGCATTCCCGCCTGATTTCTCGTGCTTTACGCTCTTCTGCAAAACAAACCATTGTAAGTATACTAATGAATAAGTGCAAAGCACAAGTTTGCATGCTAATGCTGCAGGTAATCGAAGAAAAGTAATGAAAAACAAGCAGATTACAGTAGTTGTAGCGCAAGCCACTACTCAAGTGGCACGCGCCACTATCTCTATGGAGCATGCTACTATCTAATAGCATAGCCAAACAGCACCTGATGTGGTGCACACCACTGCCCCTTGTGTCACACGCCATAGCGGCGCAGTCAGACCATCAATCGCCCGAAAGGTAAAATTCTACCAAGTTTTTCATTTCTAAACTATTATTCACATGTTTTTAGTGTTCTTAATTCAAAAAATACAAAAAGAGGGATTCAAAATTACCTCATTCGTGCCCCAGCAGAGATGAGTGGGCAAATCTAACCGTAGGTTGATGGAGTTCCCCGTATCCTGTATGAACTCCCGCAACTTCATGCAATTACAGACTGACTGAGTTATGGGATCGACCACTGCACCCTCGGGAAGCCAATCAGCAATATTCTCAGCAGCCATGAGTAGTGGTCGTCTGAGAGAGAATAAAAAAGCTTCAAAGGAAGTTTTTTCTTCAAAAAGGGAGGTTAGGTAGAAAGTGATAAATGAATGTCACTTTCAACTATTTATAAAAACTTAAAGGGCTTTTGGGCCCAACTCTGGTCCTTTGGCCCAAAAAAAAGTCCAAAGGCACGCCTTGCAGCAACTAGCCCTTGTGCTTAGCCAGCAACCCACTAATGGCTGGCCGCCCAAGCAGGGGCATCACTGCTGGCCGCAAGTAAGAAATTGCCCTAACAGGTAAAATTTTCCTCATTTTGCATGCCATAACAAAGTTTTCAATAAATTCACACAAACTCACATATTCTTATGCAAACTCATTCCTTTTTATGCAAACTCACGCATTTTTGCACAAGCATGCTTCTCCAGGCATAATCATGAAATTTTATGTCTAACCATAATGGGCTGAAAAGCCTCTATTTTATGCAAGCAAAATTGTTTTGCAGGTTCGCCCAAAGCGGTGCATGTCAGATCAAGTCGTCCCAAGTGGCGCAACTAAGCCATCCCAAGTGGCGCACCCCAAGTCGTCCCAAGTGGCGCACCCAAGCAATCCCAAGTGGCAAATGTAAGTCGCCAAAATGGCACAATCATCTGTAGAAGCCGCTGACGATCAGCATGGCGTAATTCCTCCACCTTACATGTCCAAAGTGACAACCTCCCAAAGTGCCGCATTTTCGCCAAGCCGTCCCAAATGATGCACCCAAGCCGTCCCTGGTGGCGTACCGAAGCCGTTCAAAGAACGCACCCGTCCAAAGCAATGCATTTCAACAAAGTCACCAAGTGGCGCAGTCAACCACCATGATGCAATTCGCCCGCTGAACACCGCCAAAATGGCAACCTACATCAACAAAGTCGTCAAAATGGCGCACTTTGTCCATCCAAGCCTTTCAAAGAATGCAAAACCAGTCCAAGGACACCCTGTCTCACCCAGACACGGCAATTCGACTAATGTCAGGTAAGTATTTCTTACTTGCGTGTCTACTTTACACTTTGACGACATCTTTCTCAATAAGTAAAATATCATCAAAGTGGGGGCAAACTGTAGACGCTCAATTTTTTCCCCTACAATGGCTCAATGATGATAACCTTTTTTAACGTAAAATTGAATCGAGAATCGCAATCGCTCTAATTCTCGGACCAATGGTCTGTGGCTGAGATAATGCATGTATTTGACCAATTTTACATTTTAAGGTTTCCGGACGTTCCGTAGCGAAACTAGGCCCTTGAAGTACTTCGGGTCCGCTTGACCCACTTTTTAGTGTACTACCTTATTTTACGTGCCACCCGGGGCGATTCAGTAAAAATGAGTCCGAGCCGATTTTGGGGCCCACTAGTGGCATTTGCCACCAGGGCCTAAAATTAGGGTAACACCCCCATTTGCCTATAAATAGGCCTTGGGTCTAGTGCTAAGGGGAGTTTTTGGGATAAGCTAGAGGAAACTCAATCATTTTCAAAACTAAAACTACTAATCAAAGGAAAACTTGTATTTCTTCTTTAGTTCTTAGTGATTATTCATTGATATGTAACAAAAATTCCCTAATCGCTAATCGAAAAACGTACAAACACATTCATTTAATTTCAATCTCGGATTTTTAGTTCAAGAACAAAGCTTTGGGAGTTCTTTGGTTGATTTCCCAAAACTTTTGGATTTTCTTATAGAAAGGTAACTCCGAAGAGCTTTAGAACCTCTCCTTCATCTTTTTCTCCTTGCTTTGGTGTGAAAAACACTCATTCTTCATTTGATTGGGAGAGAAATCCATAAACAACCAAGGCTTCTGACTGTGTCAGAAGTGGCGCACGCCATTAGGCATGGGGCACACGCCCCTATGTCTAGTTCTTCTACAGTCAGAACGCTCAGTTTATGGTTTTGGGACTCCTTGATCTAGGTAAGATTCGAGCGCCATTACGTGGGGCGCATGCCACTTCTCATGTGGCCCATGTCACTTCGTTTCAAGGGTTAGAACAATAAAAATAAATAAAACGATCCCGAATTGGTATTCCAGTGGTCAAGCACCAGATTTTATTGTTCTGTATCGCTATTTTGACCTAAACTGGATTGGATAAACACACACTAATAAGAAATGGGCAGTGACAAGTGTATTTGTTCATCATTCATGATGAACATCAAGGCTTTAAACCTGAATCTTGATCAAAACCTTTAATTTATTGTATTTAAATTATTGTCCTTTACTTTCATGCACTTTTATTCTTTGTTTTATACTTATTAGTGTGCTGACCTATTAATTACTAACCTATGAATATAACAGGCACCATATTATCATTGATTGAATGATTGTATGTATTTGTGACCTTATGAATGGATGTTGTATTCTATGGATGATTGATTATTGTGCTTATCATTTTAAGTTCTGTGTAAAGGACCTTAATGGTCCTGTAATTGCTTATTTGTAATAAATTAAAGGGGATTTGAAAATTTTGGAGGATTAAGGGTAAAATGCATAATTAGGGGATGTTTGTACTCTTTTCTCTTTACCCCATTCTATTTAGATGATTTACTGTTTTATGTATAAGATGATACACATAATTGTCATTTCCAAAAACACATAAAAAGGTTTTACACCTCGATTAGTTAATCCTATTATTAATCATTGTGAATTAATAGACAACAAGGAGACCGATTTAACCAGACGATTTGGGTTCCTAACACCTTTTTAATACCTTACCTAGCTCCCTTACCTAGTCTCCAGTTTAAAAGAATCAGCTTATCCTTCCCTAAAGAGGATGGCTACTCTAAAAATAAAACAATTACCAAAGAGACCTTTTTTCGAGAATCAATGAACGAGTCTAATAATGAAAACTAATTTCTTAAATAAAATCGATCAAGCCCGTTCAATTCTGCTTTAAGTGAATAATAAAAAAGGATTCCCAGATATTATCGGGCCTTAAATTTGAAACATCCACAAAACTACACTTATTTTAATATAATTTTAAATTGATAATAACTGCATTTATACCGTTAGGTAGCTCGGTTTAGTTTATCCAAAGAAAGAAAAATCAATTCGCATGAAAGCTTAGTATTCAAATTAACATCATAATCAACCAAAGAGCAACACAGTTTCGGGTTCAACATAAAAATGCTGAATCTTATTCAGCAGTACAACATCAGACCTACTTAATTGGAAAACTTACTGCAGCAAATGCATATATAAAAGAGGGTAGTGAAATCAGGAAATGTTGTTCATCGGGATCTTAGAAGGTATATAAAGAGGGTTAAAATATCCAATAATTACTGTACGTAGTTGCACTATTGAACCTTATTGTACCCTACAACTTAACCACTCAATTATGTCATCGATAATATCTTGTCGTTCTGGTTCAAATAGGAGATCATGTAAGAATCCTTGTAACAATTTGATGGATTTATCAGTTGAGGAAGCTTCTTCATACAGTTTTTGTGAAGCTTCTGGGTCAGTTACAGTGTCAGAAGTACCATGGAGAACTAGAAAGGGAACTGATAATCTACTGAGATTCTGCTGCAAGTAAGTTGAAATTCTGAGAATTTCATACCCAGTCCTTATCCTAATGGATCCAGTGTATACTAGTGGGTCAGAATACTTAGCTACTAGTGCCTCCGGATCCCGAGAAACTGGCATCCCCTTCTTATTTGCAGCACCAAGTTGGAACCTTGGCAACAGAACTGAGAAGATTGGGGCTAGTACCTGCCATTAACAAAATAAGGAAATAATTACTATAAAAATTAATAGATCATTGGTTTCCTATAACGTTAGTTTGATTGGTAAGACAGATTGATCATGCAGAGTTAAATCATATAGTAATTATAAAAAATAAGATTTGTTACTTTAAAAAGGAACAATATAGGAATTTTGCATTTTTTTAAATCACATCTACTTTTTTTATTTTATCATTTTGGATGATAAATTTGATTGTGAAAATCTTAAGTGGGAATACCCCATCTAATTAAATGCCCTTACCCTTAGTCTCCATCTTAAAGAATTAACAATTATACTGGAAGTTCTTGTAACATTAATCAAGACTTGCGTTGTGCGAAAAGAAAAGAAAAAATTCATTTAGCCATGGGAAAAATTCATCCCACATACTCTATAATCTTGTGCAGTTGGAAACAAGATATGTTAGAATTCACAAAGCAAGAGATATTCATACCACAAAAATAGGATGGGACGGCTGAACTCCAACTGCAGGGGAAGTCAGCACTACACCGGCTATACGGGCTTCCACTTTTGGATCCATTGCTGCCTGCAGTTGTTTATATAATAGAAATGAAAATTACTACTAGATTCTAATATTATGAGAGAATAGATGCATGTATTTGCACATTTGTGAGACGATCAATAGCAATATGAAGTACTGGATAGAAAAATGCATAATTACATGCGAACATTACCTTAAGAACAATGGCTGCCCCTGTGGAGTGACCAAAGCAAAAACATGGAAGCCCAGGATTATCTCCTAAAACTTTATCAAGGAATGATTTCTATCCACAGTTGAAAAAAAATATGAATGCATTTTCATTGAACAAATATGAAGCAAATATCATCAATTATAACAATCTTGTAATGAAAGCCAAAAACATACCAAATCATTGACAGCATAATCAATAGAATGAACATATGCGTGTAGCCCATCACTCCCACCATGTCCTAGTACGACAGAGGAACAACATGAGTAAGTACATCAGATAACCAGAAATTTGAACTGCACAATTGGAAGATTCTAAATTAGTAGTGCATGCAAATACCGCCTCTAGTATAGCTGCACAGTTGTGTATCCCAATGTAAAATAACTTCCATAGAAAAGATCAGTGATGTTAAAGCAGAGAGAGAGAGGGAGAGGGGAATGTGTAAGTAAAAAAAAATCTCATTTAATTTGGGACTTGGGGAAAAATAAATAGAATGCATTATGTAAACATAAAGAAACTGAACGAATATAAATTAAAACAGTGTCCTGTTAGATATTCTCAAGTTCAGCAGAAAAGGTTCACACCTTAATCAGTTGCAAGAATGTAACTTCACTGATACAAGAAAAACTAGGTGTCTCTAAACTGAAGGTGTATGTCAAGGTGCACCTAAAGAAGGTTCATTCTTTAGGCCAACTTTTGCATTTTAGAATTAGTTCACAAAGAGAGAGAGAGAGGGATAGAGGGAGAAAGAGAGGGACCAGGGAAGGGGAAGTGAAACTTAAATTACCAAATGGAGGATCAATCAATTAGCTCAAACAAAATACAGCAAATTTCACAAAATTTGTGGATCTGATTCTAGTGTTAATACAATGGGAAATAAGTGATGGGACTCCTCTTCCTTTCAAATCATGCATCTTCCCTTTGCAATTTTAGATAAGGAAGGCTAGACACAACACATGCAAATAATAAGCTTACATATGAAGAGAAGCTTCACAAGTTTCTTTTTCGCCCCAATTGAAATCCCAATCCTGCAACATCCAAATAATAGTTGCATCGTTGAAGAATGGTGATCTGTAGATCACTAAACACTAAGAGAAATAATGCATGATTACATTTAACTTCTACAAAATATTATTGTTATTGCCATCATCATCTTCTCTTTTTCTGATGCTTCTTAGAGCTTAGATTTTATTCTAGCAACTGAGAAGGTTCAAGTTGAAAACAAGGCAATAGAAACATTCAAGTGCATGCAGTTATTTGCTCAATGTTGTGTGCATTTATTCCCATTTTTGTTTCTTGCATGAAAATTCAGAAGCCTAGAAGAACAATCATAATAATACAAGTGACTACATGGAGCAAGTATGATGCTTATGCTATCATATTTTTGTTTTCTATCAGGAAAGCATTGTTCTAAACAATATTAAGAATTACTAAGTTGGAGGAACTTCTTGCTGTTTTATCATGTATCAAGCTTGAGAAATAAAACTAAAATATTCATCAAAATCAAAGTTTGACTTTATGTTATAATTGCTTGTTTTTTAGTTTTTTATTTTCTAGAAATAGAAAACAGTTTATGGTTTTTCATTACTTGTTTCTTCAAAGCTATTCTTTTTTTCACCCCCAACAATTTTCTTTTTTACTTTTCATTTCATTTTCTTGATGTTAAAAATTACTCCTAGTTATCAAATCTCTCCCTTTTATTAATCAGTCACTGAAGATTTTAATTAATAATAAAGGAGAAAGAAATCCCAAGTTTTACACCAAAACAACTTAAAAAAAGGTAAAGCAACTCACATCCCAATATTTAAATTTCAGGGTGGGTATGTCAAATTGTGTTCCAAAAATTGTTGAATCTTGTGCTGATTTTTCTACTGGGACCACAACCGGTCCTAATCCTGAACCAGGACAGAAACCAAAAACTAAAGGATCAATTCAGATCCCTGTTCCATTCCCCAACCTAGAACCATCGGTTTAATGAACCGAGTCATTCCCAATATCAAGATGGAATTGTCAAAAGGTTTAGATCTAAATTTAATTATGTTTCCAGATAATTAAGAAAGAACAATTTCAAATTGTGCGCATACATCAGCCTCTACCCATGCAAACAAATTTTGGAAAGTTAGGATTAAATTATTCAAATTTTCTCTTCCTCCAGCCCACTCCTTTTTTCTTGTTTGTCATTTTCTCCTTTTCTCTCTAAACTAGACTCCTGTACAATGAAATGAAATAGAATCTTGTAGCCAGTGAGGAGTTTGTCATGTAGTCAAGAATATGGCTATTGCATGAGGACAAATACAGAAGGGATGACTTGTTCCTAACATTCAAAAATTCTCTAATTATTTTGACTGGAAATATGCCCAGCAATGAGGGGACATTCGTAATCCCAGCTAACCATATCACAGATATGCTTCTAGCATTTGGGCATAACAGCAGCCTAGTTTTATTATATCTGGTAGAAATTGTCCATCAAACAGGTAAAGGACATTTATAGGTCTGTCAAGAAAGTAATATAAATGCAATACAGTCTAGATTTCACTGTCAATCCTTGTTATGGAAGTAATACTTGTTAAATAAACGCAAAGGCTGAATAATAATTGACAAGGTCCAGGTAGTATTTTTGATGAAACGCATATACATTAGTTTGCTTACTATGAAAAATAACCTCATAACAACCATTTTCAAAATAGTTTCAATCTTACCAATCCAATCCATTCCATAAACCTTAAACCCATGAGCATTCAGCTGCTTCGCAAAATCATTGTATCTGCCACTGTCGTAAGCAATGGAACCATGAGTACACAATCAGACTACAAATAAATTGAACTTGACTATTCCGCAGCCATTTGGCAAAAATCACAAACCTATGTTCATTCAGGCCATGCAGAATAATAACCAGTCCCCTGCAAAAATGGGTAATAATGTTAGCATCATAGCAACACTAGTCAACATATCCTCCTAAAGTCAGAACTTGAAGAGAGAAAGATGAATATTTATGCACACAAAACCACTATAATTAGAGGGATAGATTATGCCTATTCGAATTATGCTCGATTGAAAGTGATTGAACATCATATAAAAGGACTCCTAGCAATTGATAATTATTGTGAAATTAAGAAGGAAACAATTATGAGAAAGTATTTTTCTTAAGATAGTCATTTCATGTCACTTTTTTTTTTTAATATTCAGACTCTCTTTAAAAGAAGGTCCATGATTAAATTATCGATCCATGCCTTTTAACAGAAACCAAATTAATGTTACTCCTTCAAAACATTAAAATATACTTTCCAAAATGATTACATAGCAAATAATTTTCTGTACACTTTTCAAAACCAAAAGAATTCTTATGGTTCATCCATAGAACAACATGCAACCCTACCAATTAAACCAAATGAGGGAAACCTGAGACAACCCTTCCTTATTTTACATCAGACAATTAGAACAAATACACAATATTTTGCATTTGTAAAATTTTCTGTCAATGTTTAAGGATAAATGAAATGAACATAAGAAAAACAAAGCTGGATTATTCAGAAAATTCCATAACTAAGGTGGTTTCTCTTTGTGTTTAATATATGTTTTAAGTATTTTCGAAAAAATCAAATGTCCTAGAAATAATACATGAAGTCTGCGGTCATTATATTGATAAAAATAATAGAACTCTTCAACTCTTGTTCCCCCACAAAGCTCAAAATCATCGTGAGCTAAAATCAAGTTCCCAATTGAAGTCAGCCAGCATGATTTAGACCTCTCTGCAAAGGATAAACTTGTCGCCTGGTAATGAACCAGATGAACCAACCAGCTAAAATCATGGCGATGGAATTTTACTTGAAGTACTGTCCATTGATAATAATTTAGAATTGCGTGCCAAATAATAGGTGTGGCAGATAAGAACAAAATGACAGTTACGTAGATACATACAATAGTAGAGTATGTCCAAACAATGCGCGTGAGTATTTCAGAAACCTCCGCGCTATAAGATAAGGGAGGGGACCAAGTGAAAGAGATGTCAAACAAATGTCGCCAACGGACTGGTTACGTGAGTGTCTCGATCTTTCTTGTACGATCCAAACCCAACGCATTACTTAATTAGAACAATCAACATATGAAGTGACGCCAAACTGCTAGAATTTTAAAATACGACTCTAGGAATTGTAATATTCAAATTAAGAACAAGAAGCATAAACAATAAAACTATCTGAACATTCATTCCTTGTGCAAAATGTCATGCCAAAATTAACAAGAGATGCATAAGCCTTATTTCGTTATTTTTTATAACTAGAAGATTTAATCTGTTTAGAAGTAGAGTTTAAAAATTTTTTACTCTTTCAATTACGTACGGTTCTCTAAATTGAATTTGTGTTCTCTCTCCTGAAAATTTTTTGCCCTTTCAGTCAAATGCGATTCTGAATCGAACGTCTATTCTCATCTTTATAAAAATTAAGCTCTCTTACCAACCAATCAACCTAATTTCATTTTTAATAAAGATGGTAATTTGATCATTTTTAATAATAATTCAATTATTGGTTAATAATTTCCTTAATCATTCTACAATTACTTTATCCAACACTTGAAATCGGACGGAGGTAGCAAATGATTGCACAAAATCAACCACAAAATATATTTCTAAAAAAAAAAATAAAAATAAAAATAAACCACAAAATATCAGCGGTAAAAAAAGAAAAAGAAAATCCAATTACCTGATTTTGACAGAAGCAGGTGTCCACGACTGGGTAAAAATAGTATCCCCTCTGGAAGTAACAAACAGCGAAAATTCTCTAACCGAATTGACGTCATCGTCTTGTAACACCCTCCGGATTGCGAGGGCCCTCCTTCCTGCCACCTCCTGATCCACCGCCACAGCGACACTGCCACCGCCTGATGATGCACTACTCTTCCACGGAACAATTCTCGCCGGGACCCGCACCATGGTGGAGCCCTTCCGTGGGGTCCCACACTCCTGTAAATCTTTCGGCTTCTCTGCGGAGGAACTCATCGGCACCGTCCGTCTTCTGCCGCGGAATGGCAGAAGCAATAACAAGACGACGGCGTTTATTAACATTAGTAGACTTTTTAATGCTCGAACCGAGAACAACGCATTAATACGGCCGCTGGCACCGGAAGTTAGAATCAAAGATGACGATGCTGATGAAGAAGAAGAAAACTGCTCTGTTGCCATGGCTGATCGTGATGAAACTTTTTTAACAAAGATTAAGGGTGTTTTGGATTGCGCAATTGAAATTTCTAGCTTTGGTATGGAAATTTCGTTAATGTGATACAAGTGCGATGGATTTTTGTTGGTCGGATTGATTGAAAAATGAGTTTCTGCTGTTGAAATTACGATCGTTCTTGCTCTGTAACAGATCATAAAGAGCTGTAGAACAGATCATAAACAGAGAAACTGAAAGTAATCGACCCACAAAAAATAATCGTTTTTTTTAATAGAATGTCTTATCGTTTTCGTATCCCTTTCGTTTCCTTGCTCAAAACAGAAGATATGGTTTTGTTAGTTTTTGCTATAATTAGTTGGACCTATTTATTTATATTTATATATTATATAAATAAATGAATTTGAAAGGACCGCTGCTAAAATAAGCTAAGCTTAAATCGGACTTATCTCAAATAAAAATAAAATTTGTTTATCAAAATCATGTAATTTGCAACTTATTTTCCAAAAAAAATATAATTTTTTTTGTTAAAAGAAGAAAAATGTAAAAACATAAACAATTGGTCTACATTGCTTTCGTATATGTATGACCAACAGCTTTTAAAATAATATTTTATATTTCGACTCAATTTTATTAATTTATATTGTTGGATAGCGGATCATTTATATTAATATTATTAATATTAAAATTTGAAGGAATTGAATATTATTAATATTGAGATTTAGCAAAGCAGTGTTAAAATTGATAGAATATAAATATTTATTAAGAATTTAATCGTAATTTATATATAAGACTTAATTATATTATTATTTGGATCGGATAGAATTAGAAGATCTTATTTCTATTTTTTCATGAAATAGGTATCTAACAAGGATTCAAGCTATAACTCTGATCAAGATCTTTCTACCTTTATATAAAGTACGAAATATCGATTCAATATCTATGCAATAGACAATACAATGTCTCATTCAATTACAATTATTTATTATGCTCTCACTGACTTAAACATCGGAGGGTTTTAAGCCTAATACCTCTCTTTTTTTTCTATTTTTCATCTATATCTCTCATATTTCTATATGGACGCTGTAGATGGATTTTCTAAATCTATCAAAAATAATAATTGACACTTATTAAAACTGTCAATTTTATTAGTTCAGCTTTCCTTTTTTTTTAAATTATAAAATTTATAATATAAAATATAAATTTCAAGAATTAATAATTAATAATTAAATTGATTGTTATTTAATTAATAAATTAAAATAAACATTATATTTACTTAAAAATAGTTAATATCAATTTTGTAAATAACAACTTAGAATCCTCCAAAATGGAATCCAACTCGCTCAAGTCTATCAAATTATGATTAATAGCATTAAACACTTGAAGAGATTCAAACTCCAAAATAGCCATGGTAAACCGTCTTTTATAAAGCCAGCTAAGCGCATGTCTAAGAGACAATGCTGATTGTAAGTGATCATCTATTAAGCCAGAAATGGCAGTAATAAACTCTCCGTCATCCCTCAAGACCACAGCAAAAGAGGTAGAAATGGGAGTCGAGTGAAGAGAGGCATTAGGATACCATACTAGAGACACAGCAGTTGTTGACACAAAGCTTTCATTTAACTTTTTCTTATTATATTAGAATATATTTTAATATACAAATACATTATGATTTCATTTAAACTAAATTAAAAATTTTAGTGTATTGTATATAAAAATTGTATCTCCCTTACAGTCATAAATCATGCCAATTTGACGAGCAATTTTTCTTGCCTAATGATTACGTGAACTAAATTTAATGTTTTTAAAATCGGATCGGATATTGAATTGGCATAATGACGGCATCATAGTTGAATCGGGTCAAATCGATTCAACTAGGCTATTTTTTTTTTTTTAAAAATAATCTGCTAATTTTATAGCCAAAAAATTTACATTAAAAAAATTAAAAAAGAATGCAAACTTATTTTTCAACCTATTCACCATCAACTACCAATAATAATATGAAATTTTCTAATAAGCATCATTAGATCTTTGAATACAAAAATATAAGAAAAAAAAATTCATCTCATCATCAGTATCCAAATATAAAACCAAAAATTCAAATATCAATAATCATCATAATATCATCAATACCAAAATATCCAAATATGCAAATCATCAAACTCATCAACATGCAAATATCAGAATTTATGGACGTTACAACCAATTTTCATCATTAATATCGTCATAATCATCTCCTACTACAAATTCCATTGTATTGGTATCATCGTCCTCAAGATCTAAAAAATATAAAATAAAAACATAATTGTTAAGTCAGGCCTTGTTGCAGTGAGATAAAGCAACTTCCCAATAATTCTCCTATATATAGAAATATCGGGTAGGGGTTCCTCAGTAGTAGAGCTGAATTTAGCATTAGAGTCCATAGGTGTGGAACACGGTTTAGAAGCTAGAAAACCTGTGTTTGCTAGGAGCTCTAAAGCATATTTCCTCTGACTAATGAATATACCCTGTCTCACTTGGTAATTTCTAAGCCAAGAAAAAACTTGAGAGAGCCAAGATATTTGTGAGTCCTATTTATGTATGGCACAACCCAAGAAAACCTGTGTTTGCTAGGAGCTCTAAATGATATTTCCTCTGACTAATGAATATACCCTGTCTCACTTGGTAATTTCTAAGAAAAGAAAAAACTTGAGAGAGCCAAGATATTTGTGAGTCCTATTTATGTATGGCACAACTTAAAAGGGGGTGAATTGAATTTTCTAAAAATTTGGATTTCAACGCAAAATATCATAATTCTATTGCAGCTGAATTAGAAAGCGTTTGTGAGAGTTAATTATCAAGTTTAGAACTACCTCACAAAGCTTGTTACAAATTTAGAAAGACTCTATGAAGAACAATTATTACATTTAAAACTGTTTCACAAACTTAAGCAATTTTAGAAAGACTCTGTGAAGAATAGTTATTGTATTTAGAACTACTTCACAAATCTTAAGCAAATTTAGAAAGACTCTATGAAGAATCAGTTATTGCATTTAGAATTGCCTCACAAAGCTATAAGCAAAATTAGAAAACTGATTATAATTTAAATTGTAATTTATACTGAATATAAAAGGACAAATTAGAACTTGGTATAATTACAATACAGAAATCCAGAGTTCTAACGTTCTACAGGGATAAAACTTATTTACGTTTATAAACAGAAATTCATTAACAACTTTGCATTTCTAAAATTTAAATTGTTAATTTAATACTGAATATAAAGGAACAAAATTAGGAACTTGGTATAATTACAATACAGAAATCCAGAGACAATACAGAAATCCAGAGTTCTAACGTTCTACAGGGATAAAACTTATTTACGTTTATAAACAGAAATTCATTAACAACTTTGCATTTCTAAAAAGATTAACAGTTGTGTAAACAGAATATAATTAAGCAGGACTTTAAAAAATAAAAGAAGATAAATATAGAGATTTATAGTGGTTCGGTATTAACTCGCTTACATCTACTCCCAAAAACTCATCTTGAGATCCTCTACTATGTTATCTCTTTTCAAGGGTAAGAGACAAACCAATATTACAAGGAAATAGATCAACACCTAGATCTAACCTTTGTCCCACTAGATTTTTCCAAAGGTTGTAGTCAACCTCAACCCTTTCTATTTTTGCAGAGAACAGAAACTCACACAAGAAGAATGTTGCTTGATAACCTATTACATCATAGCTTTTCACCTAAGCTATTACATAAAAGTTTTCATTTAAAAACCTCTAGTTTACAACAGATTACAAAAACTATATAGATAGAGAGAAATGCAATTATTAGCACAGGAAGCACAGGAAGAACAGAAAACAGATTTAGAAAGCAGAATTAAAGTTCAGAACTGTTTTTCAGAAAATGTTGTTATTAAATTTTCTTTTCTCTTAAAAATATTTCTTGAAGCAAATAAACGAAAAGCAATAAGGGGGTGTGAAGAGAGAGCTTTGAGAGATTTAAAACTTTTATTCAATGGGCTCTTACTCTTGCAAACCTTAATGTTTTCAAAAGAAAAAAAAAACGTCTTTTATAAGAGAGGTGAAGATCACGTTTTTAGAAGACGTTGATTTTTAGCTTTAAAGAATATCTTTGACATTCCAAAAGTAAAAGATATACATAAATTATTTATATACTCATTTATTTGTTGCTAAAAATATTTAAGCCAACATCTTTTTCATTTTAGGTAAGTAGAATTAAAAACAAGATTTGACTTTTCTTTTTAAGGTAATTTCTGAAAATAAAAGATATGTGAATCTTTTACAAACACTTGATTATTTGATGCCAAAAATAATTAAGCCAAAATCTTTTTCATTTAGGTAAGTGAAATTAAAAAAGCAAGATTTGACTTTTACTTTTTAAGTAATTTCCGAAAATTATTTTAAGAGAAAAAAAATATTTTTGTGCTTATAAAAGAATATTCTCTCTATCCTACAATATAGGAGTGGCCAAATTACGGTTCCCAGAACTGGAACCGGTGGTTTAGAACCGAACCGGTGGCCTACAGTTCGATCTGGAATCGCCAATTTTTCTAGCCAGTTCGAACCAATGGTTAGAACTGGCGATTTCAAGAATATTTGAATTCTGTTTGAAACGGCTAGAACCGGCGATTCCAGTAGCTTTTTTATTTTTTTTTCAAAATTTTTTGTGAAATCCCCAAATTACCCTTTCTAACAACCATAAACGGCTACATAACGGCTAACAACTATAAACGGCTACATAACGGCTAGTTTCAAGGGTAAATAATTTTTTGGATTTATTATAAATACCTCATTCCATTTACAATGCCCTCACACAAAATTATGTCTACTCTCTCTACTTTATATTGTTCTTCTCTACTCTACAATCTCTCTAATTTTCATTCATAAATTATTGTCCAAAATATTGCAAGATAATTTCTTCAAAGTCCAATCTCCAATTATTCAAAGTCCAATCTCCAATTATTTGTCCAAATTACTTGCGAAATTTAATATTCTTCAAATTTCAATCTCTAATATTCTCTCTAATTTATTTTATTAAAATATTTCCAAATTAACATATTACTTTTTTAATTTTCCAAATTACATATTATTTTTCTATAATGGCAAGTAAAGGAAACTCAAGTTTCGCTAAGGGCAAGGGAAAGATTGGAGAAACACAATATTCATCTGTCCCAACAAACGACATCTTTGATTTCACTCCCGACCAATATAATCTTGAGGGATATCCAAATGAAAATTTGGAAATTCCAACTCAAGAATCTGAATTTTTTTTATGAGCATTTACAACAAGAGGAAGAGGAAGAGTAAGAGCAAGGTTCACAAGTTTTTC